GAAGGAGCCGTGCAGACTGACTGACTGTCCCAGGCAAACTCATGGGGTCTCTGTGGAATGAACTTGTGAAGCCCTTCCTATTTGCTAAGGCCGCATTTACAAATTCTGTTTCAACACTAAACTTGTTTCCTTTCAGCAACATGCAGCCCCGTTTCTTACCACACAGTTACTATTCGGTCTCTTATTGCCTTCCCATTTGAGGGTGAATGTAAAATGTGTTTTTCACAAATGATCTTAATCTAAGACCTTGACTTGCTACTGGATTATTCTGGCAGGAGACAGAGCACACTGTGTTCCATTGTATCTGCATGTGCACATGTACACATCTCCCATGCACACACACCAGGCTGGGAGACGGGAGGGGAAGGATGTCATAGAAGAGGCTGGATGCTTTCCAAAGCAGAGACTTGGGTAAGAGACAGAGACAAAAAAGAGACAAGGGTCTGAGAAAATATAAACATACTTTTAATGTATGTTCTTTGTTGTTTCATGTTTCCTCTGAAGATGAAAGGGGAAACAGGGGCAGTGAAATTCTTATTTGAGCAACTACTACATGCCCTACACTTCATATACACAAAGCATGTGCTTCTAAAACAATGCTAATGATATTCTATCCTCATTTTATAGATGAGGAAAGTGAAGCTCAAAGATCAGTAACTTGCCCAACTGCCACCCAGCCCATAAGCCGTGAATCTGACCTGTGTCACTCCAACCCCAGAGCTCCCATACCTTCCTCTTCTCCCGTTTCCTGAAGGGAGGAGGTTTGACCACAATGGAGAGTGGGACAGAGGGAATCCAGACAGGGGATACTTATGTCAGCGTTCTGCAGAGTTTGAAGAGTGACAGGAAAGATTCAAAGGCACTAGGTTTAGGAACAAGATGTAGAACACTTGAAGAGAGAGTATGAAAAGAGACAGATAAGCTCTAGTAGGCAGAAGAGGCAGAGAAGATGATAAAAACAGAGTCAGTTATGAAGAGGCCTCAGTAGGAAATAAAGAAAAATGGGTAGAAAGTGGGAAAGTTTTTAATGGAAATAATCAGAGAAAAATACCACTAATGAGTTATTTAATCTCAAGCAAATAGTAGTCACATAATTTAAGGATGATCATTTTAGGCAGCGGTTAAAGACTAGCTAACATTGAATGAGTATTTGCTATATGTGTGGCACTTGTGAAGAGGCAAAATATTGTAGTGGTGTGATTTAGGAGCTGTGGAATTTCAGTCTCTGTGTGACCTTGGGCAAGTTGTCTAACTTCCCTGTGCCTCCTTATCTAAGTTGAAGATAATAGTAGTATCTCCCTTGTAATATTATTGAGTGTGTTAAATGAAATGTGTAAACGGCTCTCAATAATATTAACTGTTACTATGAGATGGTTTACATTCATTATGTCTTTTAATTGTTATAAATCTTTGAGGTAGGTATGATTATTCCCGTTTTATGGGGAAGAAACAGGCTCAGTGGGGGTGGATTATCACTGGCCATCTGGAGTTGTTTCCTCAGCACCTGGACTGGGCTCACCAGATACCCTGGACCATGCCCCAGGTCTTTCCATGGTCCCTACCCACTGGCTTCAAGGAAGAAAGTCACTATGGCAATAAAACCCCAGGGGGATGGCCAGGCACTGACGGCTACATCTGACCCCCATCTTTTCTCCTCCCATCCTGCAGGGAATGTGTGTGGTCCATAATTTTAAAGGAACACGAGGATCTCCTTCCAAACCCAAACCTGAGGATCCCCGTGGAGTACCCCTAATGGCTTTCCCAAGGATAGAAAGCCCTCTGGAAACCTTAAGTGCACAGGTATAGTAAAGTGATTTTAGTAAACCAAACCCACAGGCTCAAGACCTGTTATTTTAGGAGTCAGCTAATCCATTCCTCTGCTGGAGGCAGGATACCCCAGAATCTGCCTAGCACCAATAACAGTCTGATATAAGAGGTATCAGGATTTTCACAGCTTCCCCCAATCAGTCCTGCATTCGTTCTGGGGCTTGGTGATCATGAATTCTCAGGAAGTTCTTAGTAATGTCTGACTTAAATGTCAACTGCTCCAGGATCCCTCGAACTTCACTGTAATACCACATTTATGAAATTTGGACCAATCATTTGGGAGGCCAACTTAATTTAGTAACTAGGACAGTATTTGGGAAGAAAAGGGTATTGTTACATCCAGAGATGGATGTCAACTGGAAGCACCTTAAAAGGGTTGAATGACCACAATAAAAAATTCAATGTAACGGCACTTCCTAATCACTGATTTACCAGGATCTTGCTTCATTCCAGAGATACAGAAAATAATTAGCAACACAATTCTTGTCCTCAAAGAAATCAGAGATAATCAGGAAAGATAGATATAAATGAGTAATCATAATATGGCATGCTGATGCAGAGGTCCACAAAGTTCTTTGTAAGTACAAATGAAGAAAAAAATCTATATTCTGTCTGAGAAGTCAGGGAAAGCCATGTAAAAGACTTGCCAACTGAAAAGAGCCTCAAAAGATGGTATCAAGCACTTACTTTCGCCTGGGATAGTTACTAGGTACTTTACAGTAATATTATTTGAACAAACCTTATTGAATTGATAGTGTAATTCCCAATTCATAGGTAAAAATAGGAATATGAAGATAGCAATTAAATTACTTGCCCAAGGCCACATAGCTAGCAAGTAGGAGAGCTGGGGTGAGTGGTTCTTGAAGCAGAGGGATAACTAATAATAAAACAGGGTTTTTGTTATCATGCCACTTTTTCTGGTAAATGAGTCCTACTAAAATGTTTATTTTCTGTAATAGTTTGTTGGTCTTGGAATCTCCTCTGTATTTGTCATTTCTTTACTAACCAATTTTTAGAGAGAGTGCAAGAGAAAAGCAAATCACTCCCTCACTGGAATTATCATGCGGTTCATATCAGTATGGCATAAAATAGTATTTTTCACTATTTAAATATTATTAGCAGCATCTCTCTGAGATAAACTCTCCTATTCTTTTCACATTTAATGAAGTCTTTCCAATTTTATTAATGAACCAGCAAGGGAAGAAAGCAATAAAGCTATTTCAACTTGGGAAAAATATTTAGGGCTCTCCATTAAATCCAGTGCCAGGTATTTGTTTGTTTTCCCTTAAACATACAATGGTGAAAAGTTTGAGTTGGTCAATTGCAAATAATGTACTGAAAAAAATATATTACTGGTTTGTTTAGATACAGCCTGTTAATACAAGTTGAGTGCTAAGTTAGCTAAATCATACCTTTGTAATGAAATGGTGAAACAGTCTCTCCCTAGTTTTTCTTCTCTAATTAGGTTCCTATACCTGGTAAGGTCAGAGTTGTTCCCTCTGTTTTTTTGGATGGAGCAAATGAGGACAAAGGTGAATTAGAAAGCAAATTGAAATATTTGCCGAGTTCCACAAACATGTCCCTCTTCCGTGTCCTTGCAAAATGGTGTCCACATTGCCTTAAACATCTTAGTCTAAGAACAGTCCATTTACACCCTACCCTGCCCACACTGCTCAAGCATTACCCACTGCCTGAAGCCTTCTCCAGACTCCTTTCTTCTCCCTCAGAACCATTCATTGTTAACCAGGCTAAAACATCCAAGCCATATTTTGCAAGATTCCACTTTACATTGAAAAATGGAGTGCCAAACAGTTTCAAAAATTGCTATTCACAAGATAGATAAGAGAGTCTTTAAAAATACATATGAATTTATGTTCACTACAGGTAGTAGTTGAACTTCTTTCATATCTGTCCATAATATATCTTTATTTCCATTTATATTACCTTCTGTATACAATTTGAGGCCTTTCCTGAATCCCAGCCTTGGGCCAAAGGATCCTCAGAGCCTCTCATGTGACTGCTTTTCACAATTAAGGCCAACAATGTCTCCTCACATCTGCCAACCCCAGGGACTTGGAGATCTTTTAGGGTCTGAACCCTGTAAACCATGTTTTTCACTCTCCATGTTTTCTGGCATTCGCTCTGTGTAATAAATGTTTGACAGATGGACAGATACCAGGCAGAACAAACCTGAAATAAACACCTTAGCTGAAACCAAAGATGTAAAATCAGACCATAGTCACTTCTCTGAATCACATGGAAAAGAGACATTTATGAGAATCAGTGAACAGGATGTGTGCAGGCTAGTCCAGGCAAAGTTGCAGGAAGCTGACTGAACAGTGTTACCTCTCAAGTGGTGCCTTCCACACCAAATATAGAGGATCCAAAAAGCAAGCATCTGCCTTCTGTATCAAATGTTTTCATATGAATAATTAAGAGGATAAACCCTTTATTTGTTGGTCAAGGAGAGAAAATTAGCATCTATTGCAAGCCACCGCATTCCTCACAATAGTCTTGCAATTGGCATTGCTGTTCTGTTTCGTAGATGAAGTAAGTAAGGCACAAGGAGCTTCACATGCCCAAGATGACGCAGTCAAAATTAAAACACAGGCCCATCTAATCTGAAGGCCCTGCTCCCTCCACTGCACTGCAGGGCCTGACATTTCATTCAAGGAAAATTCCCTTTGGAAATCTGGGACTCTCAACACTGAATATGGGAAGATGTGGTGGGGGATGTGTTTGAACTGAGCTACAGTTCGTCCAGTATGAATACGCCTTGTGTTTGCCCCCATGCAGAAGAGCTCCCTGTGTGACTCTAACAGCTGTGGTTTCTACTAGAAGCTGCTCCTTTGTAAAATTTCTGGAGTAGAACCATCTTCTGCGAAGAGGGCCTCTTGGGATCTGGGAGAAGATCCAACGTCTCTTGAGAGCACATATTCACCCATGTGAAATCCACCTCCCTGTTCACACACCTCAAGGGCAAGACTGGGTGGGGAGGAGAGCCAGTCACTCTCCTTTCCTTCCTCCCGAGACACACCTGCCCCCCTGCCCCATGGAGCCCCTGGAGTATATGGCTCTTTCTTCATCTCTAAATCAACTCAAGATTGACTATTTGCCTTCTGTAATTCCTTTAGTGCTGTTGATTGAGACGAGGTGCATTTTCTAAAATCTCCCAAGTGCTAAAGAGCAAAAATTAAATAATTATAGACTCTAAACAAATCAAAACTGGTCATTATTTTGATTCTAGAGTGTTCCTATGATCCCACAATCTCCCTTCTAGTATCCCATAGAGTTACTGTGACTAAAGAGACCAGCTTTGAGCTCTCCACATTCTGCACCCCAACGCCCACATTCATCTGAGCAATTGTCCTTTTTGAACACAGTTTATATTAACAGAGAATTTAGGAGTGAAACAGTTGTATTAACTCTCACTCAGGATGTGGTATGAAGTCCCCCCATGGCTCTAGGTGGGGTGAAGGAAGACCTATTTTAACACACAAAAAAGAATGAAATCTGTGCTAAGACCCAGATGGCTGGGACCTTACTCCAAGAAGCTTTAACTCAGCAATTCTAGGGTGAAAAAAAATGTATTTAAGAAAATATTCCCAGAAGATTCTAATGGTCCACTTGATTCAAAACAATTGATATTATAAATAGGAAAAAGGCTTAGAGAGGTAAGGAAACCTTCCCATAGTCACCCGTTTCCTTATCTGAACCTGTTGCATTACTTTATCACTTACCCTTAAATGGAATCTTTTTATAATAAACATTATGAATGATCAGAGTATTGACCAAAAATTTTTTTCAAAAAGAAAGCATATTATACAAGTAAAAGCATAAAAGGAAATGTTATTTTTCATATTATGGCAAGAAATGCATCAAACTTGTTTTCACAAATATGGCAGATGAAAATCCCTTGAAAGATACAGAATACTCAATTTCTAAAATTCATAAGTGAGCTCTCAAAAATACAATGTAAATCTCTAGTGCCCTAAAATCAAACAGGAATCAGGAAATGCATAATAATCAATTAGATCCAAAGCCACAGTTTCTTAAGGTACTTTCCAATTTCCATGGTGAGGGAGTTTTAAATTCAAATGAAAGAGAAAGCCTTGGGCCTGCAAAAGGTGAGGGTTGTATATATGTTATAGTAACAAGCCATATAAACAAACATCGGTAAAATTAGAAGGAAAAATGGACAAAGCTACAGTCACAGTAGGAGATTTCAACACTTTTCTCTCGGTCATTAATAAGCAAACAAAATATAGTGAAGATACAGATGATGAATGAGGTTGATCAAAAATGTGTTATATATAAAATCCTCCTCAAAACACATGGAACATTGTGAAAATAGACCATGTACAAGATTATAAAGCAAGTCTCAAGAAATTTTAAAGCATTTATATCACCCAGACTACATTCTCTAGAAAAAAAACAATACCTAAAAAACTCTATACATTTGGAAATATTAAACTCACCTTTATAATACTCATGACTCAAATAATAAATCGTATGGAATTTCAGGAATTAGACCTGTTCAACATTAAAAACATTGGGATGCAGCTAATGTTAGAGATCCTAAAACATTTGTATTAGAATATAGTGAAGTGTAATATAACACAGAATTATGTAGAGAACAAGTTTAGATAAAGAAATGATCTTACTTTGAAAAATCAAGGAAGAATTAATAGAAGAGGGCCTTGGAAAAGCATATCAGAGAGAGGGAAGAGCCTCTGCAAACTCAAGAAAATGAGAACAAGGGCATATTCAGGGAAGAGTGAGTGTGTCTGTCATTCAGTTCTAAGATTTTATCTGCTTATGTTTGCAGAATCACTCTGCCTCCATGACTGAAGTTACCTGAGACTGCCGATGTGTGTCAGCTGTTTTTTTTAATCACCCTCCAATTCGATACGTCAAGACACACAGTTACTTGATGTCAAACTGTGAATACAAGTATTATGTTTATCTAGTTAGAGGCTAATGTTTTGTACATTTTTTGTATGAGAACGTGATGTAGCTTGCCCTGATTTTCTTTTGTCAGCTTTAACATATTTATGCCAGAATTTTAAACCAACAACATTTTCTTCTTGTTCAAGTGTGCATTGGAGAACCACATTTATTCAATGGTTGATGTTGTTTTGTGATATTTGTACACAAACCTTCTTTTCTCAGTTTTATAGACACAGAAATAAAATTACAACAATTCACTTTAACCTTTTATTACCACAGTTGCTGCCTCCGGCAGAATTTTTGAATTTTAATGAAAGTTAACTTTTGAGTTGAAGGGAGGACAGTGTTGGTTAATGTTAAATCTCAAAATCAATGGTGCAAAGAGATACTTCCAAAAAGAACTTTGTGTTCTGATCGCTTAACCTGTTATTGCATTCCTAGTTAAAGTAATGAAGACATCTAGTTACAGAAATCATTGGCAGAGAATCCTGGATTTGAGGGGTCTTGGTGTTATTATGATTCTTTCTTACATAACGGCCTGTCCCATCTAAGGAACTGAAAATCTTTCTGGAATCATGTCCTTGGGCTGGTAGGTGACACTACAGCCTTCTTTCCAAAAAGTAGCCATTACTAGCCTACCCTGTCAACTCAACAGTTTTGTATATCATATTGTATGGACTTTATATGAAAATGAATATTTTACAGTTTTCACAGTATTATTTTACAGAAAAGGTATCAGAGCATCTACAGCCTAGAGCCCCAGAGCAACAGCTTGACTTTGTGGCTTTTAATTGTTCTAGAATCTTAACTGCATCTAATTTTTCTAGCATGAAAATACCTAATGTGTAACTCCTTTGAGAGAAGGAGCTCCCTCCTCTGTACCTATCAGAATGTTTTCTTGACACTTCCACATTGGCTCTTCTTAGCTTTTTTTTTGTACATATTTTTTTTCTAAAGAGAAGAAAAAAAATTATCAGAAAATGTATTTTGACTCATGTCCTTTGTTTAAGCTTCATCCACTGGGCGAAGGTACTTGAAGAGTCACAATGCAGTGACCTCAATAAAAATGTATACTTTGCAGCTCCATGCCTGCTGAGATAAATGCTGATAGAGGCATGACTGGTAGGTCCTTTCATGAGGTCACGTTTGTGTGAGCAAAGTAAAATAATTCTAGAAATTAAGACATTCAGAAGCACATTGGATATCTAGCAAGCTACCTTTGTCTTTAGCCTCCCATAGACACTTCTGAATTGTCAAAAAAAAGTCAGATAGTTGATTCAAAGGACAAAAGTTACCCCTGCTAAAACTTTCCCTAATCCCCCAGCTCATTCTGGCCTAAATTTGGTTGCACTTACATACACTCTCTCTCTCCCACACCTTCTAGTGGTGGTCAACTAGCGCTAGGTGGGAGAGCGAGGAAGGAAAGAGCAAACAGCATACCCATCCCACATGTTTTGCCCTGTGCTTTCACACCCACAGTCTGGTGGTTCTCCCAACGGTGAGCCCAGGGAAGCTATGGTAGGGCTATGCTTGTCAGCACCAATATTAGAATTCAAGTCTTCCTGCCTCCAAGTTCCACTCTTTCCGCTACATGAAGATGCTTTTGAACCATGTCCACATCTTTTCAAAGGGTTTTCTTAGGCGGCTGGGGGGTGATGAAGGCGAAAAAAGCACACAGTGAGAAGGAAGCATTCTGCTGATGAGGAGTAATTTGCAAGCTCTGAGCCCTCCCATCTTGTAAAAACCACCTAACTATATAATGTTGTCCAATTTCAGAATGATTCATTTTATACGTATTTTAGGATTTTTTGTAACAGCAATGAGAGCTCAGTTTTATTTCATGCTCATGGTAAGACCTTCTGAAATGCTGGCAGGCTATACTTTTCTTGTCACAGTGAGAAACTCTTTGAATGTCTGACTACCAAGATGGTTATTTCCAAGAAGGCAAATCAAACTGACAAAGTGAGTGTTATATGGAAGGACCTATTAGAAGTGTCCCAAGATCTCTGGCCACAGACCCCAGTTTCCTGGACCTAGACTTGGGCATATTGATTCATGACCAGATCATGCTCCTCAGGACATCCCACTGGGGCACTTGGAATTAAGAGGCATCTCTGGGCTCACCGGCCCTGGGATTGCTGAGCCAGTCTGTGTCTTTCCATTATGCCACTGCAACCTCGGTCGGCATTACCCTTTTTAGCCCCAAGTCACTTCACAGCCTCACACTGATCTTTCAAGCCTGCCACTTGAGATTCATCTCTGGGAAGACTGGAGGTGCCTCCATATGGGCCTTCTAACAACAAAGGCCTCTTTCTAAATAAGACAAGTGGTCACTGTAGCCATAGAATGAATCCTTCAATGAGCTGTCTTCCTTTTTCAAAGGAAAGCCCAGAGAAGCCTGAGAAGTTTGACTCACTGTGGGAGGCAAGAGGGAAGAAACAAAAGAAAGACTAATGGTAACCCAAGCAGCCTCATGACACTGTTAGCCCCTGAGGGTGTCTAGGACATCTTCCATTTCCATGATTCTGCACCCAGAACAGGACCTCACACAAAGAAAACGAAGTCTGTCAAACAGATGATTTCCAGACTTCCAATCTGGCTGAAGGAGACTATGACTCACTTGAAAATAAGGAGAGTTTGAATGGGGCCCTGAAGGTAGC